AGGATTCTGCCTAGCGGTTAGGGCAGCAATTGGAAAAAACAATTTTTAATATTCTCCAACAAAATTCTCTAACAAAAGCTGAAAGTCTTTTCAGCTTTACAACTTACACTTATTTCAAGATGAGAGTTCAGCAGAGTCTGTCTGAATATACTATCTAACAAATAGATGAGAGATGAGTCAAATGTTGAATAATGAAAAAACTTGTCAGGAAGCTGTTGTCAATAGCTAAGTGTCTACATTATGGAAACTTTCTTTGCTTCCACCATTATGTGAAAACAAAGCCAGATTTTATTTCCAAATCTCGGGGAGAACTGAGCAGCAAATATCCAAACTGGAAAAAATAACCCATTTTGGGTAGCAGTCCACATGACAACTTTGTCCAGTACCATTTATTTTAAAACATTGGAATTCTGACATTGAAAGAATTCAAATGAGAACTCTGGAAACTAAGATTTGAGAAATTGCCATGGGGAATATTGCTGGTAAACTTTACAAATAGCATTATTGGTTTGCAAAAGTCACCAACTTATTGTCACAGTTTTGGTAGAACCAGCATCGTCTCCAGGAAAAGAGAAATGAAAAGAAGGGGGAAAACTTTCATCATCAGCAATGTTGAGAACCATAAAATTAGTAATTAGATCTGGAGAAAAAGCCAGGGGGAGTTGGAACCACAGTGATGCAATCAGCTAATCTGGAGCTGGTTAGAATTCTGGCATAGCGTGAGCAACCAGTTGCTATCTTTTGCTGATACAAACCAAAGGAAAGAAAAACAAACACAACAACAATAGATAATAATAAAGATGTTCCACCCTGTGGCTTTTCTGATAATTATTTTCCAAATACACTTGAAGAAGATTTTTTAATGCTGGAAACAAAAGAATTTTTTTTTTAAAGATTTATTTATTTATTTATTTATACAAGCACTGGTTACAGTCAGAGACACGGGAGGGTGAGAGAATTCACCAGAGCCAAAGTGGAGAGTAGAACAGGCAGAGTGACGAGGTACACTGCTGAGGGGAGCAGCGGGCAGCAGGGGAGGTCTGCAAGCCACATGGGACCCTCACCAGGCGGCCGGGGATCGAACTGGTGCTGCAGAGGCTGCGGGCAGCTTCGCAACCCAGCGCTCAACCGCTGCGCCACCAGGGAGGACCGAAATATTTTTTAGAAAATTTGTAGAAAAGAAAATCTGAGGACATTCACTATAGAACATTGAGATTAATAATGGAATTTTTTTATCCCAAGCAGAATTTGATTTTTGTAAGCAGAAAAAGAAGTAAAAATTAAAATTAAAAACATCTAAATATTCAAAGGAATCAAGTGAACATATTTATAGACTACTGTTCTATTATCATCATTCGTTGAGGGACATTTCTCCTTGTTTTTTGGCCAACCAGCATCTAAAGAACACCTCTCTGCAGTCCCATCTCTACTCCTGGTAGGGCAAACTTTCCCTACCAAAGAAGGGAAATATCCCCTGGATTTCCCAGCCTCCCCATGACTCCATTCATGAGATGTATCTCTCCTCAGATTTTAATTAAAAGAAGCAGCACTGCCGAGATTTGTGGAGATGGGTGTTGCTGGCAGATGCAGGAACATCTGACTTTTAAAAACAGCAATGACAATGTTATGGTGCCATGAGCTGGTGGCTCCAATGTCAGGGATACTCTCAGTGCAAGTTGTGGCACCTGTGTCCACAGAGGCATTTCTGCAATAAGAATTAGGCCTCATTCTTGGCCTCTAGCTGCCCCACAGATTCTTTGAGCTGCCTGACATTCTTTGAATGAGAGCTTCACCCTCAGCTTCTGAAATCATCTGGGTTTCTTTGACACAGTTATTACAATATATTGGAAAGCTGCAAGTGATTTAGAGCAATTTATCCAATAGAAAGAGTGAAAATCAAATCTCAATCAAATCCCTTTCAGGATACAGATATTCTGAAGACAGTCCCTTTTGCCATCGAGAAAATTAAGAGAAAAAAAAGAAAAGAAAAGAGAATAATCCAGGAGAGTCAACCTATGTATCTACAAATTTAAGTATGGAAAGTGTAGACCAAACAAATCAACACCATCATCCTCTGTACCCCACCCATCCTTATTCCCACACCTCCCCTTCTTCACCACTGATAACCTCATTTCAGTTTTCAGGGTACACTAGCTCTTTTTGTTTTGTCTGTTTATCCTCTTAGTTTCCTTATGTTACACATGGAGGTGAAATCATCTAATATTTGTCTTTATCTTTCCACTAATTTCCTCTTTGCATAATCCTCTCAGTGACAACTTTTATTTTTAGGTAAGTCCTAATTCTCAGTAAGTTTGTTAAGTGAATATTAATTTTTTTCCAAAATTTTGGTATTCAGTGGGGGGAAATATAGCCAAAGAGGACTTAGAATTCTAAATCCATCACTAAGCACAGTATTTCAAAGCAGACCATGCTTCTTCTTTTCATTGAGTGAGAACTTGTAGGAAGCTACAGCATGGAATAGGCCAAGGCCAGATTAGCTGGGTGGCACGAACAAGATGCTTTACAATATGAAATCCATTTGATCTTGCAAAGAAAAATTGCCACAGTTCCATCTAGAAACAGTTAAAAACTGGCCAAAATTGTCATTTACTATTTAATAAATTATAGCACAATAAAAATAATTAACACAAAAACAGCAACAGGAGACACACCTTTCATTAGAGGATGATGGCTTAAACAAACATTCCCTAATTAATCCTTACAACTGCATCAGGAAGTTACTATTTAGCATTTTCATAGACAGCAGTTAATGTTTTCAAAGTGTTTTTACCAACAGTAATTAGTTGTTCTCTCATCAACCTTTTGAAGTAGGTCGATATCATTAGCCCCACTTTAAAGAAAAGCAAGACGCTGAATAAATATGTAAAGAGTGGAGACCACTAACATAATCTTCTTGTTGATCAGTTCTCATTTTCCTACTCCTATCTTTAAAAATATGTGAGGACACATTTTTAAAATGGCCTCATGTCAACTCCGCCCACCAAAAAAAAACCCCTCAAGGAAGTATGTAGAATTGTATCTATTTTCCAGGGGAAAAAAACCAGAGGTTCTCACATACAAATACATACTTGTCAGAGAGGTGGTTGCCGATTTTGTCTACTTGTGAGCTCAACCATGGCCCAGAGTCCAACAGGACTAAGCTCCCCTGGACAGAAAATTCTCAGCTTCTAAGATAATTCTCTTTCTAAAAAGAAACCAATTCCCAGACATTTGTGCCACACAGTATAGTGGCTTTTGCAAGATCTGTTCTTCTCATGAACAATTCTGAACTTATATTATTAATAGCAGATCTAGAGACCACCAAGCCACTCGGACAGCTAGAAGGAACATTTTGAACAAAAAAATTGCACTTGTTACATATATATATATATATATATATATATATATATATATACTAAAACAAAGCTACTAGATTCCCAAATGACTTTAGTACAGCCAGTCTTGTTGAGAGAAAATATGAGCTGATTGGATTTTCAGAAGATTAATTCAAAATTGGGCAATCAGATTTGAGAAAACAGTTTTGACTGGAACAATCAACTTAAACCTATTTACAAAGATTTTCATCAATTATGGTATTCACAGAAAATACAGAAATTAACCATACAACTCTGTCCTTTGTTATTCTCTGTAATTATACTGAACTTCACATTTTTCTTTTATGAGAATAAATGTCAACTGTGTGTTTTATTTGCAATTTAGTTGGACTGTTTGCTAAATGTTAGCAATTACAGCAAAATATGAATAATAAAAAAGAAAAAGTTATCAGATCATAGTCTGACCTCCTTTTTTCCCTCTACCGCATGAGTTTTGTCTATATCAAAGCAAAATAAATTGGAATTAGTAACATGCTATTTTCCATTCATCTAACTGACAATTAAGCTAAGTGAGGCAAATATGGCCTTGAAATATATAGAATTATTCCACATTAAACAAAAAAGAGCTAGAGCCAGTGTATCTTTATTCACTACACTGCAAATGAGGTTTTGTTATCCTAGAAAAAGCTACTTTAGGAAACTCAAGTTTTAATACAGGCTATTTTTAAAACCTATCCTTTCATTACAAGCACATTATAGTAATTCTAGTCAGATGTTTATTTTCCTTAGTTATATCTTACTGCCTGTTTCATCTAAGGATAGCACCAGTTGGAGAAGCCAAACGTGAACTGTAACAGAATTCTACAAAATGGAAAATGACATAAAAGTTTACATTGGGAAAATTCCAAAAGCAAAGATACGTCAAAAATCAACAAATCAGGGCCTCCCCGGTGGCACAGCGGTTGAGCGCTGGGTTGCGAAGCTGCCCGCAGCCTCTGTGGCGCCGGTTCGATCCCCAGCTGCTCCCCAGCCACCAGAGGAGGGTGCCACATGGCGCGCAGACCTCTCCTGCCACCCGCTGCTCCCCTCAGCAGTGTACTTTGGTCCTTCTGCCTGCTCTGCTCCTCGCTCTGGCTCTGGTGAATTCTCTCACCCTCCCGCGCTTCTGACTGTACCCAGTGCATGTATGTATGTATAAATAAATAAATAAATAAATCTTTAAAAGAAAAAAACCCAACACTATAACACTAGCAAAGGAATTTTCCTTTAATACCTTCCATGAGTTCTTGTTATTTAGCTTTAAATTAAAGCAGTTGACCATAGAACTAAGACATTCAGAGGGGAGGTGTTAGCTGGCAGAATGAGGGTCACCTGGGACCTCCAAACCTGCACACTTCAAAAGGGTTCTGCCATCTGCAGCATAAAGACAAAATATACTCTTAGTGCATAAGACTTTCAAACCCCTCCTGGGTAAATGTCCAGGTAAACAGGACTCATCCAAAACAGGGCCACTGAAGCCCAAAAGCTTGCCACAAATCCAAGGCACCTTCTGGTGGGGAAGCAAAGGAAAGGAGAAGGGCCCAGGTAAGTCTGGAAGGAAAAGAGGAAAGTCAAGGTACAAGTCAAGATATAGGCTACCATTGTTAGGCTTCCCACGAGTCTCACCCAAGTCTGCGCCAAGTGTCTCTCTCCATGTCCTTGGTTCAAGTCTAAGGCCAAGAAGCAAACGTGGCTTCCTCTTCACATGTCTCTGCACCATGTACCTCCACCAAATCATCTTCATCTCCCTGCAGCTTTCTCTCCCAAGTCCCTATTAGCTCCTCCTGAGCTCAGCTCCACCCTCCCTTAGGTGGAGCAGAGAACCTGGAACCTCCCTTTTCTATGGATATCACAGTGTTCCAAAGGGACAGGAGTAGGATGGGGAGAAAGCAAAGTGGACTGCTGTGTAGGACTATGGGCACGTTGCTTGTGAGTGTGCTGTGGTGACTACAACCGTATGGGATTTCCATACTTCCAAATATGGGATCCCATACTTCCAAGTATGGGATTTCCATAGTTCCAAAATACGAACAATGATGTAAGGCAACGGCATTTCAATGAAACATTAAAAATATTTAAGAAAGCAGTTGAAGCAGGGAGGTAGAGCTGGAAATTCTTCGCTCTGAGGGAGTTCTGAGAACAATGACACTGCTCTCATCACATTGCCCTCTGAGGACACCTCAGTATGTTGGGCACCATTTGGGGACACCGCAAAATAGCTTGGAAAGGGGCACAAACCCCCAAAAGAATAAACAGTATAAATCAACAAGTATGAGGGTCCACACCCCAGGCAAAAGTAGCTGGATTTGTGCCTTCCCACTGGGTTGCCAAGGGGAACTACATATGCAGCCAATTAATCAAATCCTTAACCTTGCCTTTGTTCCCTTTAAACTGTTTACACTCTGCACACCAGGTTTCTAAAAGCAGGTGCTAACTCAAGGTTCAAGGTCCATGTAACTCATGGGGCTGGTGAAGACTGTCACAGCGTGAGGTTCTCAGACAAGCATAAAGGGCTGCTTAAATAGGGTACCCCAACCACTATCTCATCATTCAGGGCCCTTAACTCCACCCAGTTTGACATGGATACAAAATAATAGCAGCTAAGAGTTGAGTGTGTGATATGTCTACTGCTACATAAATCTCACTTAACACTAATAACACCCTGAAGTAGGCATTATTCCACTTTTTACAGACCATAAAACTGAGGCATGAAGAGGTAAAGTAACTGCTTTGCTAGGATTGAAGCCTCATTTCTCTGCCCACAGTGCTTGCTCATTTAACCTTATCTTAACCAAATATGCACATTTTCTTGGTCTGAGTACCTCAGAAAACAGCCTAAGGCAGAGGGCTTTGTGATGCTACTTCATTAGGAGGTGCAATAGTCAGGAGCAAGAGGGAGGAAACAGGAACAATGGGAAGTAAGGAGCGCCCACATTGACTGCATTACAGAATTGGCCACTGCTACCTACTCTTGGTTTCTCAGTCTACAGGATTTTGCTCCCGAGAAGTCATATCAACCATGTCTCATGATGGAGATAAAAAGGAGATAATTTAGCCACTGACTCCCACCTCTGTTGTTCAAAAGTTCACCATTGTGATATTGTGATAATATATATATATATGCCATTCAGATTAACAAAGTACTTTTTTTTTCATATATATTTGGTCTGCAATCACAGTTTCCACCTCACGAGCCTAAAGCCCCGGAATTTCCAGTAGGAAGAGCAATAACGGTGTCTCTTGTTAAGCTAATGACGGTAACTTTGGGAAAACACCTGAGGATAGGAGCTGGTTACCATGGGAACCAACCACGTGGTTAGAGAGTTGGAATTTGGAGTCCTAGCCACTGACCTTGGGGGAGGAGGGAGGAACTGGAGGTTAAATCAATCATGATGACCAAAGAGTTAATCAAGCCCACCTATGTAATGAAGCCTCCACAAAAACCCAAAAAGAGGATTCAGAAAACTTCTGGGTTGTGAATATGTGGAGAGTTGGGGAAAATGGCATGCCTACAGAGGGCAGGGAAAGCTCTCCAACCTTTCCCCATACCTTGTCCTATGCATTCTTTCATCTGGCTAGTCCTCTATAACCTTTGCAAGAAATCAGTGATCAAGTAAGTAAATGGGTTGCCTGAGTTCTGCAAGCTGTTCTAGCTGGAGGAGGGGGTTATGGGAACCTCTGATTTATAGCCAGTCGGTCAGAAGCACTGGTAACAACCTGGGTTGGCAGCTAACATCTGAAGCAGAGGGTAGTCTTGGGAGACTGCCCTGAACCTGTGGCATCTGATGCTATCTCCAGGTAGATGGTGTCAGAGTTGAGTTGAACTGCTTGTTGTGTAGGGAAGCCTATGAGCCTACACCCATGTTGAAATTGAGTCTGGGAACCCTACACTAGTCACTACCGTCAAGCACAATGCAGGGGCTTTCTTGGCCCAGAAGCCCATTAGCAGTGAGAGTCAGAATTCTAAGATGAGTCTCTCAATGCTTACACCCTTATACACAGTTGCCTCCTCCCCTTGAGTGGGTGAGACATGTAAATAAGGTGAAATATTACCCCATGAAATATCATGCATATGACAGCGATTTTTGCGGGTGAAATTAAAGTGCCTAGTCAACTATGTTAAAGGGATGATTATTCTGGGTGGGCCTTACCTAATCTGGTGAATTCTTAAATGGGGTCTAATGATCTAGATGTAGCCTAGCTAGTCTCGAAGAAAGCAAACGGTCATGCTGTGAACTACTGATGGCTAGCAAGAAAACAGGGAGCTCACTTATATAGCTGCAAGGAAATGAATTCTGTCAATAAGCAATAAGCTTGGAAGAGGACCCCAAATCTCAGATGAGAATCACAACTCAGTCAACACCTTGATTTCAAATTGGTGAGTTCCTGTCCTTAGTACAGGACCCAGCTAATGTCTACCCAGCCTCCTGATCCATGAGAAAGTGAGATAATAAATTTGTGTGGTTTTAAGCTGCTAATGTAACAGGGTGGTCCCCAGGAAAGGGGGAGGTTTCCTTCCCCACCCAAGGGAGAGTAGAGCTGAGCAGGGAGAGGAGAAGCTGCAGAAGAGACTGAGGAAGGAAGCAGGATGGAGCCAGGAGACCTGGAGGAGGCGCATGGAGCCTAGAGACACGTGAAGAAACTGCGCTTGTCTTTTGGTCGTGGACTGGGTGACACAGATGTGGGTGAGACCCGTGGGGAGGTGACAATGTAACAGGGTGGTCCCCAGGAAAGGGGGAGGTTCCCTGCCCCACCCAAGGGAGGGTGGAGCTGAGCAGGAAGAGGAGAAGCTGGAGAAGAGACTGAGGAAGGAAGGAAGCAGGATGGAGCCAGGAGACCTGGAAGAGGCGCATGGAGCCTAGAGACACGTGAAGAAACTGCACTTGTCTTTTGGTCGTGGACTAGGTGACACAGATGTGGGTGAGACCCGTGGGGAGGTGACAATGGCAGCTTTTATCTTGATGTTGATTCTGCTCTTTTCCTTCCGGGCTTGTCCGGTTGTTTGTGACCCTTTTCTGTGGGTCCCCACTGGAAGATGCTTTAGACTTGTGGCAGGCTTTGGGGCCTTGTTCTGGGCCAATCCCATTTGGATGGACTTTTACCCACGAGGGGACAGGTAACTTTGGGTGCTTCATTTAGAAACTAGACTCTTTGCCTTACCTGTATTGTTTCCTAGTTTTATTAAAGTTCCTTTTCATTAAAGTCTCCTATGTTTTGTGTTGATGCGGCGGATGGCAGAACCCATTTAGAATAGGCAGGTTTGCGGGGCTTGGGCTGCCCCTCTCCCTGTCCTATAACAGATTTGGCGTCCAACGTGATTTAGGACAGAGCCATCCGTGGTTAGTCAGCCCCATGGGGAAACTGGGCTTCCCTATGGCACTGGCTACCATAAGCGCAAATGTGATTTTTGGTTTCTCTAGTGTGTTTGTTTCATATGTCGATTTGCTGTTGAAAAACTGGCTTGGGCTTTGTGAAGATTCTGTGCGTTTGTGTGTAATTTGTTTGTCGTGACTAGCTAAGACATTTTAATTTGTGGAAATTTTTTTCTGTGCCAGTTTTACTCAAAAGATTAGGCAGTACATTGGACCATGTGGCCAGATCAAAGATGGAGTCTGAGGCCACTTGGAACTTTTTTTTTTCTTTCTTTTTGTAATCTCTGCTGTCTCATTAGCATTTCTAAAGGCAATAATGGTTCTTCAGTGGTATGTTGCTTTGTCTTTGGCTACTTCCTGCTGTTTGCCTGATGCATTTTGCCAGCCAATTGTGAAGCAGTGGTGTTTAAATTAGCAAATGTATGCCTGGGTGTTAAGGAAAGAGTAGCCTTAAGCAGTAACTGGTAATTGCTGGTATCCTTGATGGATTCTTGGAGATAACTTGAATATTTGCAAAGTCTGGATCAGAAAAATTAACAAGATTTTGTCTGAGTCTGAAAGGATTTGCTACTGTGAATTTTGTCTACACAATTTGTTTTGGGCATGTTTGCCATTTTTGTTATTTTTGAATAGTGGATTTGTTCAATTGCTGGTGTAAGACAAGATTCTAAGTTTCTGCTTCCTACTGAGGAAGGTCTGTTGTGGAAAGCACTCTTTAGGGTGCATCATGTAACTGTACCAGGTTTTCATACCTGTGTTGTTGTTGTCCCTCCCTAGTGTGGGGGAGGTGTAATCTATTCTTAGATGTTTAATCTGCTCTTTCAGCTTCTGTCCCAGAGTGGCTAACAGAAGTAAGGAGATGACTCCTTTTAATTGAAAGTTAATTACTGATATTTTGATTTTGCTTTTTCAGGTTCTATTCCAGGAAACCCAAGGAGTGCCTGCTTGGTGGCTAACAAGAGATGACTCCTTTTGCTTAAAAGTTAACTGTTACTTTTATTCTTTCAGTTGCTGTACAGAATACCCCAGGATTGACTTCTAATAAAAAGTCTTCAACACTGAAAACCCTAAGGTGATAAACAAGGTCATGTAACTCTTGTGATTAATAAAACTTTTCCTTCCTATTTCCAAAGTCTTAGGTTTGTAGGATGACAACTGGAAATTTTTCTGCCAGCAACACTCCACATTTTTTTGGACTTTGACATTTTTTTTCTGAGCCTATGGAGTAAAACTGCAGTTACCTAACATATTCCACGTGGCATAACTAAAAAAAAAAAAAAACTGTCTTTGTCTACATGTTGTATGTCTGTATGTCCTTGTGTCTAACTGTCTTGGCCTCTAGAGGTTAAAATTGGTATACATGGTGCCATAGACATTG